CCGTTCCCAAAAAGCAGAACGGCCCGTTCTAAAATCAGAACGGCCCGTTCCGAGACTCATCCAGAACGGCCCGTTCTCCTTCCGGAACGACCCGTTCTCCCTCCAGAATGGCCCGTTCCAAAGTCAGAACGGCCCGTTCTCCTAGTTGGAACGGCCCGTTCTGGGCCCGTTCTCACTAAAAAAATTTAGTATAATTTTTAAGCTTGGAACGGCCCGTTTTGCTTTTGGAACGGCCCGTTCCAAGTTACCAAAACACCCCTTAAATTTTTTTTAAAATTGCGAAAATGCCATCAGTAATAAAATTACAAGAATACCCCTATACCTTTATAAAATTTACGAAAATGCCATTGATAATTAATAATAATAAAAATGGGTATTACACATCAAATCAATTAAGATACTGGGTTAGTGGGTCAAATGTTAAATCGGTGAGCCACTAATTGAACTGCATAACCCGGTTTTTATTAATTATTTTAAAATATTAATATTAAATATATTTTATACTTATAAATTTCAATAAATTCATATCCTATTTTAAATTTCAATTTCCATCTTACTTAAAATTATCTTTATTTTTATTTTGTATAAAGAAATACATAAAAAAATTACATGTTAAACTGTATATTAATACAAATTAAAAATATAATAACATTTACATATATAATTTACTTGCAATTGATATCGCAAAATAAAAAAATAATTTTTTTTTTGTTGAACTGGTTTGACCCACCAGTTCACTGGTCGAATCGGGAAATTGTCCGATTCACTTCGATTTGAAACAAGTCAAGTGCATAATTAATCCAACTTAAGACTCGAATCGGTTGAACCACTGGTTCCTAGTTCAACCAGTCTAACTGGTCGGTCCGATCCGATTTTTAAACACTGATTTTTCATGCTTTTATGGGATATGCTAGTTTATAATGCAAAATATGTCTTTAGTTCTTTTAGTGAATTGTGAGTACTAAAGAAATTTTTTCCATTCATACAAAGTATATATCCTAATAATGAAGTGCTTAGCCCGTGAAATTTAATTTTCTAATTATCTTACCTCTATTTATATTAAAGTTTTATCCGAAAAACTTTTTTCTTACAAAAAAAGTCTATCCTTATTATAATTAAACATAAAGTATGAAAATTTAAAATCATTTTTTAATCTAACAATTTTTTATTAAAACAAAAACAGATAAAAAGTAATTTTTGTTTTGATAAATTAAGGATTATCTTAATTCACAACTAAAGATTAAACTTTTAAACTATTATGATTTATTTAAGAAGTTAAACTCATTCAATGAATATGTATTTACATGCACACTAACCAAGACAATGTTATACACAATGTAATTACTATTCAAGATAAATAAATAAAAAAAATTCAAGCACACACAAAAAATGTTGATTAAAAAAAGTGGGTAAAATAAAAAGTTGTCATGGCAACATACACCAAACGGGTTCAGTTCAATCCTACACCTAGATACCTACCGGCTGACGGCAGTGTAAGACTCGAACCGAAAGTCTGAAGCACTTTGGATTTTAATATTTAAACCCTTAATTGTTCAAGTTGTTAAGATGGTTCGGTGATTTCAACGTGACCCTACCAACCTTCAACGCCACTCTCTTGTTGCTTCCTTCCTTCACATATTACTATGTCTATGGCAAATGCTAAGTTCGGTTCTTCCTTTTCTTGTTCCGCGGCTTCTCTTTCTTCTTCTCCTTTCCATCGCACAAGAGTTTCCCAGGTATTACTTACACTGATTAATTTACGGAATTGTTCCCCAATTTTCCAATTTCACATTGTTTTTCATTTTCAGTTTTCGTTGCCAATTTCACACGCCTACATGGGTTGACTAAGACTGACCGATATTTATTTATGCATTTGTTAATGCTGTTTATTTCTTGTGTAGTGTTAGCTTTGTGTTTTCGCATTTTGTTGAACTAGAATTGTAGAACCTTCTCTGTTAAACCTTAAGAAGAAAAAGTTAATTTTGTTATATATTTTTGAGTTGCCGGGGGAGAATGTCCTTGCTACTATTGGACTTAGATAGGAATAGGATAGGATTGTTGCTGAATTTCGCTTCATCGGTGGGGGGTTTTGCTGAAAATAATCATCAGTGGAAATTCAGACAATAGATTGTGTTATTTGGAAAAGTAAGCTTAATGAAGAAGGAAATTCTTAGCATTCTGTTTGCCCTCTGGCGCAGCAAGATTGATGTTAAAATCTTCATTTTTAACAGCCTTGTAAGTTGAAACCTTACCCTAGTCAATTTTATTTGATCAATTACACCAACTGTATATGTCATTGACATTTGGACAGAAGAAAGGGAAATTAAGTGGACACTGTTAAATATTATTTGATCATTGGATCTTTCCTAAAAGATTCTTTAAGAAGATAAACTGATATCATGGTCTTCATACAAATATACGAAGGATGTGCAAGATAAGCTACTTGGTTTTTTGTTATTTACACTAACAATAATTATGGAATTACCAGCTGAAAATTATCATAGCCAGCTAGCAGGTGAAATATAGGTAATTACCAATGTTGTGTTCTGCTAGAAAAAGATTTGTGAGGCATTAGTTATAAGGTGGGGTTATAAGAGGTAGAACTAAATAGTATTGATCTGGTTTGGGATGCAAGTTCAATAGTTAGTTAAATCTTATTAGCTAACTTAGCAATCAGTTTGATGAGTTTCCTAGCTGTAATTGATTTGTGCTAGTACTAAATTTTTGTCTCTTCTCTTTCTCTCTGTCTCACGCACTCTTTCTTTCAAGTTTCTTAGGGTGCTTAATTGTTTTAGCCTTTTAGGTTTATGTTAGATACAAGTTGCACAATAAATTGCTAAAGCATGTTCAAACGAATGTTTGCATTTACCTGAGACATGATCAAATGGATGTGAACATTCTAATTGATTTTTGTGCATTAATTTTAATATTTAGTCAATAATTAATATGTTTAATGTGATTGTCAGAGTGAAAAAAATTGGGGATTCATTTTATAGTCACTTGCTCAAAGCCATGAATCCCATGATTACAAATTAAATTCTGTTTGGTATTCATCAATGTTAAAATGAGATAGAGATAGGATGGAATTTCTCAAGTGAAAAGATACTGATTGTTGGGGACCCAATTTAAGATAAATGAAAGAACTATATTATTGATTGAAAATATAAGAAGCATTACTAGATAAACCCTAATTCCAGAGCAGAAGCTCCTCATAGAAGAAATTCCCTCTCTGCCCAAGTCAGAGCATACACTCTAGACTCCCAGTTGAAAATACCAAACTCTACACATTTCCTTCTCCTGTCCCTACCTATATAACATATTCCATTATCTTGTTTCTTTTTCTCTCTCGGTAACAAACTCTTCCCTCCTTTCCCACCTAATGTGATTCTAAGTAGGGCTTGTATATTTCGGCTTGTGGTAGAGAACCTATCACTCGTCACACACACAGGAGGCATATCTAATGAGAGCGTGAGGGATGCTTGGAGTAAATCTTGGTCATACAATCAAACTCAGACAATCAAGATTGTTTTATTTAGTTTTAATCGTAACCATTGATTTCAATTATATGTTGAAATTTCTCCTGCTCTTATCTCACACCACACACACAAACACACACATATAGGCTTCATGATACATTTTACAAGGCTAAGGATAAGTTGTTGCTATTTCCTAGACATGAATTCCTATGAACACTGAATGCATTTCACATGTGATACATGAACTGTATGTGGTTATTCTGACAACCAGTTCTATGAAAATTTAGTGAATTGGTTTGTACTATTTAATTTTTATTAGTTGATATTTTTCACATATAAATAGTACATGCTATAGATTAATAACTATACACATAATTCTTGAAAATTGATGATGATGGGGTCATGAGGCATGACATGTATTACTCTTTCCATTTTCAACTTTGCACATGTTTTGCTTAGCAATTCATGTGATTTGCTATTTGAGTTATGCTCTCTGATTAAATCCATTTCAAGAAACTGCTATTCAAAATTGTTAACTGCTGTATCTTTGAGTATAGCTTTATTTAATCTTACGCTTACATAATTTCTTTTCATTTAATATTTAGTTGAGCTTATCACAAGGCTTGTTTGTCAACCAAACTGGTGCTCAGCTGCAACTGTACACTAAAGGTAGCTTGCTTATTTAATGGTTGGTTCTTGAATTTCTACATTCTACATCAACACGTCCAACTCAATTACTTATTTCATCCTTTAAAGATATATCGAGTTTGATATGAATGATTCCAAGCATACTTGAGTAAATTTTTGTAGAAATTTGGAATGTTAGTGTAAATTGCAACCCACCCTTGAACTTTTCCCTGCGTGGATTAGACCTTAGTGGTACAGAAAGGTGCAAATGATTGCTGAACTTCACACTTTGAGAAAAACCCTCTATAAAGAAAACCTTTAATTATGGTTTTATTGAAGATTGAAAAACTAAAAGGATACTGCATTTTAGATTAGGACCACATTTGCAAATTCCCCACTTTTTCGTTTTTGTTGTTGTTGTTGTCACATGATAGTTCCATCAGATGGTTAACAGTTTGCATAATGGAGGGTGCTTTTACAAAAGTGTGATGTTCCCAGGGGTCATTTTTACACTTTAAACCTTAAGGTATAATCTGCATGTGGACCAAAGTTGAATGGTGTGAACTGCAATTTCCAATATATTTTTTATTAACTTTTTTGAATATGTCTCTGTTAACATTCTTTTGTTTTTGCATTTGTATCGTGGTTAGACAAATCATGCCAGCTTAAGTTTGTACATGGAATGCTGAACTTGAAAGGAAGGTTACAGAAACAGCATAATGCTCTTTTTGTTGTCTCTGAGGATCAATCACAATACTGTGAGCTTGAAACAACTGCTTTAGTGCCAGAAAACGATACCATTGCAGAAGACAACTCTCCCGGCAGCAACTCATATTTTCATTTATCAGGGAGTCATGGAAAACCAGGCCTTATATCATTTTATAACCGTCCATACGGGAGAGATAGTAAGATCCTTTTATCAAATTCAGAGAGAAGTCAAAACAGCATATTGTGGTTTATTGGCCCTGCAGTCCTCGTTGCTTCATTCATTTTTCCCTCACTTTATTTACGCAAAGTGCTTTCCATCATTTTTGAGGACTCGCTGTTAACTGGTAACTTTTCCTTCAAAGAAAGACTCTGTTGTGTTTGAATGTTGTGTGTATTTGGTGCTCTATTGCTTTGTCTGCAGCAATTTGCATAACTTACTTTTTTTTTATGTGGAGAGTTTTTTATCATTTGGATGTTGTTCGTACTAGGTTGGTAACATCATCTTCGATCAATATGGATAAGCATTTGCTGATATAAATTTTGCAACTTCAATATGAATAATTCCTGAAGCTTTGGTTTTTAACCAAGCTGAATGATGCATTGATGCTATGTGATCCATGTAGCCGTCCTCACCTAGTGGGATAAGACTTTGTTGTTGTAATATCAACAATCAACAAAACATTTTCAAAAGTTGAAATTGGTTTAGTTTAGAAATTCAAAATGCTTGTGGAGTGGCATGGAAAAGGAGAGTTGTAGTTATTGTAATTCTTCAATGAGCTGCAACATTGGTACCTGTTAGATGATCCATCCTCAAATTCTATAATTTTGAATTGCTTGCTTTAATTCTTCTTTTTCTATTATCTTTTCTTTCTTTCATAACTCTGAATTGTCACTGAACTCTAAAGTTTGAAGTATCTTCTTTCTTTATCTCCAGATTTCCTCATATTATTCTTCACAGAAGCAATCTTCTATTGTGGTGTTGCGGTATTCCTTTTTCTACTAGACTATCTAAGACGACCAATGCTACTGGATACTGCTGCAAATAATAGTGATTCTCTGCCCCAACAATTAGGACACAGAGTCTCTTCTGTTGCTACCTTAGTGCTTAGTCTTGTAATTCCAATGGTGACTATGGGTTTTGTCTGGCCGTGGACTGGCCCTGCAGCCTCTGCAACTCTTGCTCCATACCTTGTTGGTATAGTTGTCCAATTTGCATTTGAGCAGTATGCCAGATATCGAAAGTCACCTTCATGGTCTGCTATCCCATTAATCTTTCAGGTAAGAACAATCCAAATCCAATCCCTTATTAACTTTCTGTATTTTGTCTTCATAGTAGAAAGTGTAAAGTAATTTTTATTTGTTTTTTCCTGATTAAAAGTCTAAATTTACATTTGGCTATGGGTCTTTTTGGATGAACTTCTCCAGAAGCATTTATAGGGGAGGAAAATAAGGAAAAATGAACTAAGCTTCTCCATAAACTAATACACAAGTTAATTTGTAAAAGTTCTCTGCTATTAGCTTTTTCAAAATCTTATTTTTAACCCATATATAAGTTAGTTTTAACTTATGGAGAAGCTTATTTTAATTTTATTCCTATTTTTTTCCCTTAGAGTGTTTCTTGAGAAGTTTATCTAAACTAGTTCTATCTTAGATTTGCTCTCTCTCATATTGGATTGAGTCAACTAAAATGTTTCTAATATTCTTATGTCCATCTTTCCCGATTGATTATGTTATTCACAATAAAGAAATGAAGTGTTATTAACAATAAAATGTTATTAACAGGTGTATAGGCTTCACCAACTAAATAGAGCAGCACAACTGGTGACAGCTTTATCATTTACAGTAAGAGGAGCTGAGATGACCTCTCACAACATGGCCATAAACAGCTCTTTGGGTACCCTTCTAAATGTCCTACAATTCCTTGGTGTGATTTGCATTTGGTCCCTGTCTAGCTTCCTCATGAGATTTTTCCCTTGTGCTTCCACAACTACGCAGTAAAGAATTTCTTGTAAAGTTTGTTAACAATGTCATCTCACCCGTTCATCTTCGTTCAGAATATGTAGATGTACCTGGGTTTATTTTTTGGTGGTATAAAATTGTTAATTCTAATTCAAAATTTGGACGCTGATCCTCTGACTCCGTCTAGAATAAAAAATGGTTACAAGAATTTGTAATTGAGGATTTTGGATACCGATCGATGAAGAAAAGGAATACTTATAGTTCTAGTTCTGCTAAGGCATGTGTTTTGAAATATTAGATATATGTAATTAAAAGTCTTTAGGAATAATACTAGGATTGACCTAGTGGTGGAGATTGGAATTGATATAAGTAGGCATGGCAATCTAACCCGTCCCCGTGGGTACCCGCCCCGATTTGGACGGGGAAAACCCGTGTTTATCGGGTTCGGGTTCGGGTTCGGGTTTTTCCCGATTGATAAAATCGGGGGCGGGGGCGGGGACGGGGATGTTAATACCCACCCCGCCCCTGCACCCATACCCGCCCCCGCCCCGCTTAATAATATAATTAAAAAATTATTTTTATATATATATAAACCAAAATTAAAAATATTTATATGTAAAAATTTATATTATTTTTCTTTTCTTTTATTTTTTTAAAATTATTCATATTTATTTAAAAGAAAAATAGAAGAAAAAAAAAAGAAAAAAATAGGAGCGGGGGCGGGGACGGGGCGGGGAAA